GTGGAGCAAAACACCTTTGGGTATTTTTCAGTGGACAGAATGTCCAGCCCTTCCTGAGAGCCAGACTCCTGCTGCCTGGTCAACAGGTGCACAGTTCAAGGTCCTCGACCTGAACTTTCCCACCGAACCCGAGATAAGTCAGCCATTTTCGCTGGCTAACAATCATTAACCCACCTCCACCTGGAGCCCCGACTTGTTTTTCTGGCGAATGAACTGGGTCACTCACTCTGAAGGTGACAGCAGCTGAACCAGCCAGTTTCCACAGTCCACCACGAAACGCCTCCCCCATCGATCACTTGGTGGGAGAGAGGAAAAAGAAACCCACCTAAAGTTGTAAAGAAAACAAAAAATTAAACTATATGGCTGGGGTTGTAGCTTGTTTGGAGGTGTGCTTGCCTAGCTTTCCACAAGCCAAAGGTGGTGGTGGTACAAAACCAATTCCAGCACTCAGGAGGTGGAGGTCGTTCAAGGTCATTCTTGGCGACAGAATTTAAAGTCAGCCTTGGCTGCGGACACTGTTTTAAAACACACCACACACATCACACACCACACACACACACACACACACACACACACACACACACACACACACACACACACACAGCTGTTTATCTTGCAGTTTTGACCTGACCCACACCCTTCAGCGTTACCAACCTACAGGTCAGAAACATCTGTGAGCTGTATCCTGGCTACAATTTGTAAATAAGACTTATTCTAGTACTATTTATAAAGTAAAAGAAGCCCCTCTCTCAATAGAGCCGAGTCCCAGACAGAATAGAGGATTCAGCTTCAAATAAAACCAGAATTTCTTTTTGGTAGTAAACACAATTTCGGCTGGTGTGTGTGGAGAACCACACTGCTTCCTCTCTTGGCTCTCCTGCTGGTAAGTAAACCTGAAGGGATGAGTCAGCCTCACTCTGGAGAAGGTGACAGCCAGGACATTGTGCTATTTAAGGGTGGGCCAGACTTTTCTTCCCAAACTTCTGGTTGCCTGGAGAAAAAAATGCCCAGTGTCCCTGCTGGTTAGTGTACCTAACAAAGAGAGGTCCAAGCCATTTTCCATCCTTGGTATTTCTCAGCTTTCACTGGAACCTTCCAGCTGGTGTTTATATGTTCAGAGTCCTCACCATTGAGGACCCGTAAGGGGCCTGCTGGCATTTGTACAAATAAGAGACAATTTCAATACAAAGAGCCCTCAGTGTTGGTCGCTATGTCTGGCTCCCTGCCCTCACCCCCACCCCCTAGACTGCCAGTGCCCCAAGGATTAGCCAGGATTTAGCATGGAATGCCTGTGGATCGGTGGGGCATGAAGCTCGGGAAATGTTGGTTAAATTGAACAGGAGAATTATTTTAAAAAGGAGATGGCAAGAATAGAGGGAGGGGCTAGAAAGATGTCTCAGGGGTTGAGAGCATGCCCTACTCCTGCAGAGGATGCAAGTCCAGTTCCCAGGGCCCACACGGTAGCCCACAGCTGCGGGAAACCCCAACTTCACACTCACGCACACAACCACATACAGACACATACACATAAACATAATTAAAAATAAATCTTGAAGCCGGGCAGTGGTGGCGCACGCCTTTAATCCCAGCACTCGGGAGGCAGAGCCAGGCGGATCTCTGTGAGTTCGAGGCCAGCTTGGGCTACCAAGTGAGTTCCAGGAAAGGCGCAAAGCTACACAGAGAAACCCTGTCTCGAAAAACCAAAAAATAAAAAAATAAAAAATAAAAAATAAAAAATAAATCTTGAAAAAGAATCAATTAAAAAGTTCATTTAAAAACTAGTGAAAGGGAGAAAATGAGGTTCTTTCTTTGGAGATAGATTTTTGTGATTTTGTTTGTGTTGGCTTTATTTGTACGTTTGTTTGTTTGTGTAGTGCGGGTGATCAAACACAGAATCTCATATGTGCCACACAACTGTCGTACTGCTGAGTTATCCTCTCACCCCTTAGATAATTTGTTTGAGACAGAGTCCCACTGTGTAGCCCAAGCAGGTCTTGAACTGAGGGCCTCCTGGGTTCATCTCCTGCCAGGATTACAAGCGTGTACTATCAGAGCAGGTGAGATAATTCCTTAAACAACTAGATACTTGGCAAGGCCTCCAGAAAACCAAATGATCTGTCCATAGGATTTGCCTTTTGTGATGCCCAAGACCTTGGAGGATCCAAGTTTCTCTCTTCAGTGAGCTTTGTAACCCGCTGGGATCCTCTGGGCTTCACCTCTTTCTGCATATGATAAAAATGTGCTGGGAGCAGCAAGAAAGAGCTGGGAGGTCAAAGATGAGGTCTAGCAAATAGTCTCGTCATGTAATCCAGAGCTGGCCTAGAGCCCCACCCCCACCCTGTCCCATGCAGAGCAGGCAGGCTGCAGCAGAGCCTCCCACAGTCTCTGCATGCTCAGAATAGGATGTCAGCCCCTTTCGGGACCTTTATCAGCACAGGCAAGCATTCTCCCGGAGTTCCTCAAGAGATAGCACTCCCAGTCCGCTCTCCATATGCTGAGCACATGACAGAACCCTGCTTGACACCGAGATCCCAGCTCCTCACCCAGCAGAGTCCCAGACAGTGGCCTTTGGATGTTTTGTCAGAGAATCCACTGTTTGTCCTCAGCTCACCTCAATCCGTAGAAACTGGAGTCCTCGGATCACCACAGCGGACACTCCATACTCTCTAGGCAGACTTACCTGGTAGAGGGAAGGGGCTCTCCTCTGGTGAGACACACTCCCTGTGGCCCCCAAAGCCCTGACAGTAGAAGATACAAATGTCCCAGCCTCCCAACACACTGAGCACCTGCTTCTCCCGTGGCCATGCAGGGCCAACACCACCTCACCCTCTCTCCAGGTTAGAAACAATGTGGGTAGGGCAATCAGAGTCCGCTAGAGGTAGCGAGCAGTCCTTGATGGTAGAGGTGAGACAACACCAGATCTCACATCCAAGTTCAAAGCACATACCCTGGAAGATGTGCCAATCACTTCCAGCATGGGATGCCGTCAGCTTTCTCTCCAGATTTAGGGACTCTGGATTTCTTCTCGTTGCCCCAAATCTAACCCCTATGTGAAAGTTAATATGGATCGCTGCTGGGAATATCAGGTGGGTTCTCAAGTCTTCTATTCCTACTGGCTCTACCCTAGAAAAATGCATGGATCTGTCACCTGGTTCATGTCCCTGCTCCCCCGAGTCCCCTGTGACCCGAGAGTAAGGCTTTCGCTCTGTCGCTTGCTTTCAGGTTGACTGTATAAATATATATGAAAGAATAAGCAAGACATGAATGTCTCTTTTCTTGTCTTTCTCTTTTCTCTTTCTTTCTTTTCCTTCTTTCCTTCCTTCCTTCCCATCCTCCCTCCCCCTCTTCCTCCCTCCCTCCCTCCCTCCCTCCCTCCCTCCCTCCCTCCCTCCCTTCCTTCCTTTCTTCCTTCCTTCCTTCCTTTCTCTCTTTCTTTCTCTTCCAAGACGTGTCTCTCTATGTAGTCCTGACCGTCCTAGAACTCGATATACAGACCAGGCTGTCCCTTGAACTCACAGAGATCCTCTTGTCTCTACCCTCTGAGTGCTGGGGTTAAGTATGAGTGCCACCACATCTGGCTCAAAAGCCTTTTTCCAAAAATGACTAAGATGAGGCAAAGACTTAGCACGTTTGCTGGAGTAAGCAGCTGAAGCCCTGGGTTGGATACACAGGGCCACATAATCAGGATGTGGTACAGCATGCCTGTGGTCCAGCACCCGGGAGACAGGAGGGTCATGAGATCAAGGTTATCCTTTTGTATCTATTTGAAACCTGAGATGCAGGAGACCCAACAGCAAAGAACAGAAACTTTTCAAAAATTTGAAAACTAAAAGTTCCTAACTAAAAGTCTCCAGTTGCCAATTTACTAGATTCTTATGTGGAGTCACATGTTCATTTTATTGTTATTGTATGAATGTACATTCATTCTGTCAATTAAAGGGCTGGAGGTGTAGCTCAGAGATTGCATGCTTGTCTAGCATGCTTGAGGCCCTATATTAGATTCCCAGCAACACACACACACACACACACACACACACAAAAAAAAAAAAAAAGCTTACATTTTAAAATTCAAAAGATCTTAGTTTCAAGGTTATCCAATGAATTAATCACTGCATTAAAAAATGATTGCTCTAGGGCTGGAAAAGATGACTTACCAGGTAAAGGTGCTTGCCGCCAACCCTGAGGACTTGAGTTCAATCCCCAGTACTCATATGGTGGGAGACGAGACATGACTCCTGAAAGTCATCCTCTGATCTAGACACATGCACTCTGTCACATGTACATACGTGTGCACATGTACATGCACACTCTCTCACACACACATAAAAGAAAAGCATTTTAAACAATTGTTTACTTGCCCTCAGAAATATAAAAATCAATATTGGAAAGATTGTTGGCTTCCCAAACCAGAGGTAGACCCCGGCCCCACAGGAAGTAGACGAAAGACCAATAGAGTGGCAGTTCCCAGACAGCAGAAACTACTGTTGTTAAGTTTTGTGTATTTTAAATTAACAACTTAAAATGTCATTTCCCACAGCAGCAAATTCCCCTTTGACTCCAAATAAATGCAGTTGCAGATTTCAAAAGGCAGAGGCACTTGCCGGAGCCATGGTGGAGACAGACTCTGCCCTGAGCCTCTGGCCTGGCTTCAAGGACCAGGGAGGACAGCCCCTAGTGCTGTCAAGCAGTGTGCCCGAGTTAATGATTGGCTCTGCCAATGGCAGATCAGGCTGTTTTTGTGTGCCTATTTTGCTATTTTTACGTAAATCACCCTGGGCATGTTTGCATCAACCTACTGATGATGCACCTTTGATCAATAGCTTTTAGACAAAAGTGGTTTTGAGTCCAAAGATCAGGGCTGGGTTGCCCTACAGACTGAATCCAGGGCATATAAAACAGGGGTAAGGCGCATACTGATAGCAGAGCAATCAGCATCAAGCGTGGACTCACCGTGAGCACGGGCTCTGCTGCCAGCTCCCTGAGGTACCAAGGGAGTGAGGATGGAGGAGCAAATGAACATTCTCCACGACTTGGGGATCCAGTCAACCCGCTACCTCCAAGAGAATTATGCAGACTCCCAGGACTGGTTCATCTTAGTGTCTGTGCTCGCCGACCTCAGGAATGCCTTCTATGTCCTCTTCCCCGTCTGGTTCCATATTCAAGAGACTGTGGGCATCAACCTCCTCTGGGTGGCGGTGGTTGGGGACTGGATCAACCTCGTCTTTAAGTGGTAAGAACCATGCAGAGGGGTGCGCGGCAGGGAAAGAGGCTGCATTCTATATAGAGAGGACTGTCCTTCAGCAGGGGCACTCCGTACTGTTCACCAAGCCCAGGTTAGACCTCCCTTGGCTTGAGAACATCAACAGAAAGAATAAGGATGGTGAGAATCCCACCAGTGCCTGGAAACGGGGAACAGTCTATTTCCTCAGGCCTGCAGGAGTGGAAGGACAGCTGAATTTAATGAGAAGTCGGAGTGCAGGCTTTGTTCTACTTTATTTTGCTTTATTATTTTAAGATAGAGTCTTGTGTAGCCCAGGCTAGCCTCAAACTTACTATGTAGCAGACAACGAATGACCTTGAACTCCTCTTGTCTCTCTCTGCCTCCCGAGTGCTGGGATTACATGCTCCCACGTGCAGGTCAGCACACTGGGGATTGAACCTGGGACTTTGTGCATGATAGCAAGAACTGCCCCAACTGAGCTGCAGCGCCAGCCCCCAGGGCAGGTTCTAAAGAAAGTTTTATTGTTTTGCAGGAGAATGGGTACCCTAGAAATAGATGTAGGAGAGAAGCAGGGAGGCTGGGAGGAGGAAGCCAATGATTCTTCACCTTTTGGTTGGGTAGGGAGAAATAATCCAGGACCTTGCTCTGCCACCTTCCAATTGTGTGTCCCTGGAAAGGTACATGAGCCCTCTGAGCTTCTGTTTTAGAGTCTATAAATTTTTGATTCTCACCAGAATCTTAATATTAATCACAGCGGACACTTATTGAACAGTTACTATGTGCCAGGGTCTGTGTGTGTGTGTGTGTGTGTGTGTGTGTGTGTGTGTGTGTGTGTGCCTGCATACATGGATGTGCTCTATCACTGAGGAGCACCCTCAGCCGTAGACCATGCGCTTTTCTGTGGAGAAGCTACTTATGTTACATGCCAGAGAGCAAGACTAAGAGTTCACCGGTGGGATGAACACAGCTCCTCTACAGCGGAGGCTGCCAATGCTCTGAGGAACAGACTTAGAGCTAGTGTGTGTGTGTGTGGGGGGGGGCGTGAGACAACGGCCCTGACCTTTTTTTTTTTTTTCTTCCGGTCTTTTTAAGACAGGGTTTCTCTGTGTAGTTTTAGTGCCTGTCCTGGATCTCGCTCTGTAGACCAGGCTGGCCTTGAACTCACAGACATCCACCTGACTCTGTCTCCCGAGTGCTGGGATTAAAGGTATGCGCCACCACTGCCCGGCCAGCCCTGACTTTTAACGCTGGCCAGGTTCCATTGCGTACATTTTCCCATCATGGCAATATCTAAGCTATTGATGGTTCTTGCTAGAAAAGAATCAATGAATGGCCTGTTTCCTCTGCTAGAAAATGAAGAGAAACAGCTTTACCATCCATTGTCTGTATCTGCTATCAGGTGATATGTGTGTACATGTTCATGTGTGTACGTGTATGTGCCTGTGTTTGTGGAGGCCAGAGCAGTCATTCCTCAGAAACTTTTTGAGGCAGGGTCCGTCATTGGACTGGAGCTCTCTGAGAAGATTGGACCCTGGGCGTCTACCACCTGTGTGCCCATGGCTGTATGCCACCATGCCCAGGTTGGGTTTTTTTTGGGGGGGGCGGTTTGTTTGTTTTGATAGGTCCTGGTGATGGAGTTCAGGACCTCCTGTTTTCATAGCAGGCACCTTACCTACTGGAACATCTCCCAGCCCGTTTCCCTGCATTGCTTGCAGATTTTTGTTTGTTTTTTTGAGACGGAATCTCACTATGTAGCTTTTGCTGTCCTGGAACTTACTATGTAGATCAGGTTAGCCTCAAATTCACAGAGATCCGCCTGCCTCTGCCTCCCAAGTGTTGGAATTAAAGGCGTGTACCAACACACCTGGCTTTTTATTGTGTTTTTTAAGATGGGGTGTGGGAATGGGGGTGGGTAGGAGGGGAGTGGGAGGGGCGGGGTCATGCATCAGTGAGGAGTCATTTTATTTTGTAACCCAGGTTAGCCTAGAACTGATTAAATAGTCCAGTCTGGTCTTGACTCATGCCTCCTCTCGAGTGCTGGGAGTATAAGTGTGAACCAGCATGCCTAGCTTGTCTGTTTAAGTTCTAGAACCTGAATGGAGAGCCTTGTGCTTGCCCTTTATCACTGAGCTACATCCTCAGCCCCGTGGGGATTTTGTTCTTACAGGACAAGGTCTCTTATTGTGTAGCCTAGGCTGGCCTCCAACTTGTAATCCTCAAGCCTCAGGCTCCAGGGGGCTAGGAGTAGAGGAGTGTACAACTATACCCAGTTCCAGGGCATTTTTTGCTTTATTTTTGAGTCGAGGACTCATGTGACATCGGTTGGCCTGAAACTCAGTAAGTAGCTGAAAATCACTGTCAATTTTTAATTCTCCTCTTCCATCAGACAAGAGCTGGGATTACAGGTGTGTGCCTCCCTGCCTGGTGTGTGTGTGTGTGTGTGTGTGTGTGTGTGTGTGTGTGTGTGTGTGTGTGTGTGCCTGCCTCAGCAGGCATATGGAGGTCAGAGGACAGCTTGCAGGAATCTATTCTCTCCTTCCACCATGTGGGTACCAAGGATACAACTCAGGTCATCAGGCTTGGGGCAAGTGCCTTTACCTGTGCCGCCATCTTGCTGGCCCTCTCCTGGTGATTCCTAAGATTTGCCTCCAGTTCTCACGTCCTTTGGCCATAAGCAGTAAAAGTCCTAAGAGTACTTAAGTACAAACTGGGTTCCAGATTGAACCCAGGGCCTCAAATATGCTAATCAAGTTGAGGGGGTGGTGGCTCACTCGGAAAATGTTTGTCTTATAAGTCCAAGGACCTGAGTTCAATCCCCCGAACCCCTGTGAAAATGCTGGGCATGGTGGCCTGCATTTGTAATTCCAGTACTGGTGAGGTGAAGACAGCCCATCTTAGGGTTTCTGTTGTTGTAAAGAGACACCATGACCATGGCAACTCTCCTAAAGGAAAATATTTCATTGGGACTGACTTACCGTTTCAGAGGTTTAGTCCATTATCATCATGGTGAGAAGCATGGCGGCATGTAGGCAGACATGGTGCTGGAGAAGGAGCTGAGAGTTCTACATCTTGACCCACAGGCAGCAGAAAACTCTGTACCACATTGGGCGTAGCTTGAGCACATGAGACTTCAAAGCCTGTCCCCATAGTGACACACTTCCTCCAACAAGGCCACACCTACTCCAACAAGGCCACACCTCTTTTTTTTTTTTTTTTTTTGGTTTTTCCAGACAGGGTTTCTCTGTGTAGCTTTGCGCCTTTCCTGGAACTCACTTGGTAGTCCAGGCTGGCCTCGAACTCACAGAGATCCGCCTGGCTCTGCCTCCCGAGTGCTGGGATTAAAGGCGTGCACCACCACCGCCCGGCAAGGCCACACCTCTTAATAGTGCCATTCCCTGTGTGCCAAGCATTTTGATACATGAGTCTATGGGGGCCATACCTATTCAAACCACCACACAGGTGGAACACTGGAGCTAATCTAACCTGATTGGTGAGCTTCAGGTCAGTGAGAGTCCCATGTCAAGGAGGCAGATGGCCTTTTGGAGGTTGTCCTCTGACCTCCATACCATTTGTGCACCCCCCCACACACACATTAGAGAGATTGGGGGCAGGTAAAGAAGGAGAGAGAAAGAGATGGGGCAGGATCTTGCTGTGTTGCCTAGGCTAGCCCCCAAGTCTTGGTCTGAAGAGATCCTCCTGCATCAGCCTTCCAAATAGCTAAGACCACCACTGCATTTGATTTTGGAAGCTACTTGTTTGAATAGATAATACATTCACCGGTTAAAATTTCAGAAGTTGCCAGGCAGTGGTGGCACACACCTTTAATCCCAGCATTCATGAGGCAGAGGCAAGCAGATCTCTGTGAGTTTGAAGCCAGCCTGATCTACAGAGCGAGTTCCATGACAGTCAAGGCTGTTACACAGAGAAACCCTGTCTCAAAAAAACAAACAAACAAAAAATCAGAAGTTATCTACTGTGTCATACAAAGTACCCCCAGGCCTCTCCCCAGGCAAAGGGAGATAAATACCTCCAAAGGTGACACATATTCAAGCTTCTTTCTCTCTTTGGGCTTCCAGCAAAATCATGCCCTGAGTCACTCAGACACTGGCTCTGCTTTCCACAGGATTCTTTTTGGACAGCGCCCGTACTGGTGGGTCCTGGACACGGACTACTACAGCAACACCTCGGTGCCCCTGATAAAGCAGTTCCCTGTCACCTGTGAGACTGGACCAGGTGAGAGCCCCGGCCCTCGCTGAGGTGGGGTGGACCTCATTCTTCATAGGATGCACCAACATCCTTTGTGGATGATGCTGACCTTGAGGGGGCCTGAGGATAGCCATTGCCTCATTCTTTTGTCACAATTCAATTTGTCTTCCATTTAGTACAATTCCACCTTAATTCATGGCAGCAGGGCCTTCCATCACTAGTTGGGAAATCTAAGAGACATTTCCAGGATTAAAGATACTCGTCCAAGAGAGGCAGGGCCACACCCACAGGCAAAGGACTAGTCAGAGTAACTGAGACATAGCCCTGTATCCAGAGAGGCAAAAGAGATTGATAGAAGCCTGAGGCCTTATTGTCCCTCCTAGCAGCCTGGCCTAGTGACCATGGCCCTCTAAGCCGACTGTCCCTTAAGTTACTCAAAGTTTTTGTCTTATTTTGGAGGAGTTGTGTACCAGTCAGCTCTGTCCTGCCAGCTGGCTCCCAAATAACCACACAGAGACTTATTATTAATTATAAATGATCAGCTGATAGCTTAGGCTTGTTACCAACTAGCTCTTACATCTTAAATTAACCCATATTTCTTATCTACACCCTATCACATGGTGGTACCTTTTTTCTTTTTTCTTTTAAGATTTATTTATTTATTTATTTAATGTACACTGGTGTTTTGCCTGTATATATTCTGTGTGACTGTGTTGGATCTCCTGGAACTGGAGTTACAGACAATTGTAAGCTACCATGTGGTTGCTGAGAATTGAACCCAGGACCTCTGGAAGAGCAGTCAGTGTTCTTAACTGCTGAGCCATCTCCCTAGCCCCACTGGTACCTTTTTTCAGCACAGCATGTTCATCTTGCTTCTCTCCCTGTCTTCCTGAGACTCGTCGTGACTCTGCCCTTCTTCCTAGTGTCCTCTTAGTGTGGCTCTCCCACCTAACCTCTTCCTGCCTAGCTACTGGCCAGTCAGCCTTCTAGTAAACCACTCAGAAGGCACCTTGGCAAAGAGACATCTTCACAATATACGAAAAGATTATTCCATAACATGGTTGTTTCTTTGTTTGGAGGTAGGTTCTCAAGTAGGCCAGACTGGTCCTAAACTCACTCTGTAATTGTAACTGAAGATGACCTTGAACTTCTGATCCTCCTGCCTCCCCACCCCTCCTGAGATAGCAGGTGTGCTAAGCTTCTGTGCAAGCTAGACAAGTGCTCTACCAACTAAGCCACATCCCCGGACCAACCTGCATTTAGTTATAGCCAGTAGGAATTGTTAGGTCAAATGACAGTTTTGTGGTTGTTGGTTGTAATTAGGAATATCCAAAAAGTCTTTCCTAGAAAGTCTCAGTGCTATTGTCCCCTCCTCGGGATCTTCTCCCTGGCCTTCTGCTAGGAAACATCTTGGATGTTTAGTCTCAGAGACCATTGGTTTTTATTGAGGACCTACCATGTGCCAAGTCCTGTTCTAGATGCCTGAGATACCTTTGCTGGCAAACAAAACAAAGATCCTGGACACAGAACTGTGATTTGAAGGGGGTGTGGTGTGTCAGTACACAAAAATCATAATAAATCAGTAAAGCAGAATATTAGAAGATGATGATTTGAGTGCAAAAAGAAGAAAAGGAAGAGAGAAGAGGAGGTTAAGCAGTTAAGAGCACTGGCTGCTCTTCTAAAAAAACCCAGGTTCAGTTTCCAGCATCCACATGGCATCTCACAGATGTCTGCAACTCCAGTCTCAGGGGATCCAAGCTTCTGTAAATCTTTGATGCATATGGCTAACAGACATGCAGGCAGGCAAAACACACATACACATAATTTTTGTTTTAAATAGGACAGAAGAGAGAGTTTGCCCATGAGAGTTCCTGGAATGCTGACTGGAGTAGAGATGAGAGAGCAGTTGAAAACTCTCCAGAGTCACAGTTGTGCAGGGGAAGGGATGTGCTGATGGGCAGATGGAGACGTCCAGTTGTGACTAAATCGCACATGACTCCACAAGGAACTCTCAAACTAGAGATGTCTCTTAATACAGACCAGTTATGGGATACAGGCTATACCTAGGTATAGAGGACAACTTCGACCAAGATGGCTGTCTTCAGCCCAAAGCCATGCCCACAAAAGGCTGAGAGTCAAGGACAACCTACAACTCTGCTCTTAGCAACTGAAAAACCATTGTTCTGTCTAGGAGGGGGTTTGGGTGGCAGATCTCAGGAATGAGAAACAACTGTAAGTTGGTCAGAGTAGATCTCATTGAAAAGGTGAAATCTAGGGACTGGAGAGATGGCTCAGCAATTGAGAGCACTGGCTGCTCTTCCAGAGGTCCTGAGTTCAATTCCCAGCAACCACATGGTGGCTCACAGCCATCATCTATAGCAGGGTCTGATGCCCTCTTCTGGTGTGCAGGTGTACATGCAGATAGAACACGCACATACATAAAATAAATAAATCTTGCCGGGCAGTGGTGGCGCACGCCTTTAATCCCAGCACTTGGGAGGCAGAGCCAGGCGGATCTCTGTGAGTTCGAGGCCAGCCTGGGCTACCAAGTGAGTTCCAGGAAAAGGCGCAAAACTACACAGAGAAACCCTGTCTCGAAAAACCAAATAAATAAATAAATAAATAAATAAATAAATCTTAAAAGAAAGAAAAGGTGGAATCAGTCAGGCAGTGGTGGCACATGCCTTTAGTCCCAGCACTCAGTAGGCAGAGTCAGTCGATCTCTGTGAGTTCGAGGCCAGCCTGGTCTACAAAGCAAGTTCCACGACTCTCAGGGCTACACAGAGAATCTCTGTCTGGAAAAAAACAACAAAAACAAAAAAAAAAAAAGAAAGAAAAAAAGAGCTGGGCAGTGGTGGCACATGCCTTTAATCCCAGCACTCAGGAGGCAGAGCCAGCCTGGTCTAGAGTGAGATCCAGGATAGGCACCAAAGCTACACAGAGAAACCCTGTCTTGGAGAAAAAAAAAAAGGAAAAGAGAAAAGAAAAGCTGAAATCTGAGTCAAGACTTCAAGAGACAAGGGAGCTGACCAAAAGAATTAGGGGAGAAGAGAATGCCTGATGCAGCGTGGCCAGAGCAGAGTGAGAAGAAAACTAGAAGGGAACTGATGGTGGGCAGATGTATAATATGTGCACCCAGTGTCCTGACTCCTGTGCAGTCTCCAGACCATCTGAAACTACAAGAGCAGTGGATGACCTCTCTGGCTTTGCTGGCCACTGCACCACCAGATCCCTTCACAATGCTTGGCACGTAGTATGAATTCAGTTTGTTAAATAACTGAATTAAAGATAAACGAGTGGATAGTAAGAAGGATGGATAGTTAGATGGAAGGCACAATTAATGGATGGCTAATGGATGGGTAGATGTGTGGATGGTACCTTGGCACTCTCTCAAATGGACACCTTTCCATCTTTAGTCCATTCATCCTTTTTTCTGCTATTTAGGGAGTCCTTCTGGCCATGCCATGGGCGCAGCAGGTGTCTATTATGTGATGGTCACTTCTGCCCTGTCTATACTTCGTGGAAAGAAAAAGCCAACATATGGATTCCGGTAAGAACACACCACTGGGCACGTGGGTGAGCAGGAAGTTGCACACTCTGTAGCTGCACAGTGTTGTTCTTCCTCCCCTAGCCCATTCTCACACTTACAGTCGGCACTAGTAAGAGTCATAGCACTTCTGTGAGTTAACATGGGACTCACAGAACCACTGATCTAGAGAGAGTGGCAGAGCTTAGAATAAATTATTTTATCCATTCATTTATGGGTTTGGTTCCGGTATTCAAAAGGGACTTTGTGAATGTTGTGTAACTACTCTATCACTGAGCTATAGCCCCAGCATTTAGGAAAAAAAAAAAAAAAAAGCCAGGAGGTGATGGTGCAAGGCATCCCAGCTCTCTGGAGGTGGACAGATGAATCCAGGATGGCCAGAGCTACACAGAAAACCTTGTCTTAAAAAACAAAACGAACAATGTCCCTTTTTTGTATTAACCTGGAGTCATCTCATGGATTAAAATAGACAGACATAAGATGTTCCTAATGTGGGGCCCCTAGGTATACAGTTAGAGTGTAAATCCTTAGTTATCAAACAGATAATAATAAAAAATTATTGTATTATATTATAATTATATAATATATTATAATTAATATAATAAAATAATAATAATAAATTAAATCAAAGTGGTTTGGTTTTTTTTGTTTGTTTGTTTTTTGAGACAGGGTTTCTCTGTGTAGCTTTGCGCCTTTCCTGGATCTTGCTCTGTAGACCAGGCTGGCCTCGAACTCACAAAGATCCACCTGCCTCTGCCTCCCGAGTGCTGGGATTAAAGGCGTGCGCCACCACCACCCGGCCAAAGTGTTTTTTAAAGAAAAAATCATGTAAGCACAGTCTTAGTTACTTTTCTGTTGCTTTGATGAAACACCATGACCAAGGAAACTTAGAGAAGGAAGGGTTTGGGGCTTGGTTCCAGAGGGAGAGGAGTCCATCCACAGTGGCAGAGAAGCATGGTAAAGGGAACAGTTGAAAGCTCAGTCTCAACATGGCTCCAGTCTTTAAACCCCGCCCCTATCGACGTACTTCCTCCAGCAAGGCCACACCTCCTAATCCTACCCAAACAGGGCCAGCAGCTGGAGACCTAGTATTCAAATGTCTAAGAACACAGGGGAGATCTTACTCAAACCACCACAAGCACCACGCATTTTTGAGCTTTTGAGCAGGACTCCCAGTTTCTAAAAGTTCCTCTGATGGCGCCTCAGTTTGCCAGGCTCCTCTGTTCCCACATGGGCTGCTGTCTTTGGTGAAGGATCCGCATTTGGGTTCTGAAGTGGTTGCCTATTCTCTTGCAGGTGTTTGAAGGTCATCTTGTGGTTGGGATACTGGGCTGTGCAGCTGAATGTCTGTCTGTCCCGGATCTACCTTGCGGCTCACTTTCCCCACCAGGTTGTGGCTGGAGTCTTGTCAGGTATCGTGGACTCCTCCCCTACCCACTTCCTATTTCTTCTGGATCTTCCTTGCCAGCGTGGCCTCCTCCGTGCTGTCAGCCTTTCAGTGGTTTCAAAGTCAAGGGGGGGGGGGGGTTTAGAAGCTAAGGAAGTGGCTTGGTCTCTAAACCAGCCTGAGGGCCTGAATTTGATTCCCATCACCCACTTAAAAAGCAGTGCATGCCTGTATTCCCAGAGCTGGGGAGGCAGAGACAGGAGGATCCCTGGAGTTCACTTGGTGAGCCCCATGTCTCAGGGGCAGATCGTATAAAACAAACAAACAAAACCAGTAAGGTGGCCGGGCGGTGGTGGCGCACACCTTTAATCCCAGCACTCGGGAGGTAGAGGCAGGCAGATCTCTGTGAGTTCCAGACCAGCCAGGACTGTTACACAGAGAAATCCTGTCTCAAAACCAGATAGATAGATAGATAGATAGATAGATAGATAGATAGATAGATAGATAGATAGAGCAAGCCTGGCAAACGAAGATATGCTTGTAGAAGTTATGCCACACAACAAATTTGGGGTTGTTTTGGCTAGAGAGAATAATGTCATCAACTATGTGACCGGGGGTTTAAATTAAGAACTTACTAACTTCCGTGGAAGGAACTGAGACCAATAGATGGCATTGAAGCATGCCAGTGGTTTGCTGAGATGGCTCACTGGGTTAAGACATTTGCCACCAAGCCTGACCACCTGAGTTTGAGCCTGGGACCCACATGGTAGAAAGAACCAACTCCTGTAACTTGCCCTTTGACCTCCACACAGGTGCCATGTCACATGTATGCCTGCCCACACACGAACAGACATACACATACCCCATAACTGAAATTTAAAAGAAATAAAAGAGGACAAGCCCATCAAAACTGAATGAATGGGGCTGTCTGGTGGGAATGCACCCCGTCCCTGAGCATATGCAAGAAGAAACAGGACCCACCACACACAACAGGGAACTCAAATTCAGCGGGAAGATGTATGTGACGCTGTTCTTTCATCTGAAAGACACTATGTTGTATCTTTACACTCTCCGCTTTGACGTGTGATTTAATTTCACCTGGTGGGATGATGGCCTGTCACCCGTTGCCACCTCTGTTTCTCACGGTGCTTTTTCCTGCACAGGCATTGCTGTGGCTAAAACTTTCAGCCACATCCGGAGCATCTACAATGCCAGCCTCAAGAAGTACTGTTGGATCACCTTCTTCCTCTTGGGTTTCGCGCTTGGATTTTACGTGCTGCTAAAAGGGCTGGGGGTGGACCTCCTGTGGACTTTGGAGAAAGCCAAGAGATGGTGTCAGCGGCCTGAATGGGTCCACCTCGACACCACACCGTTTGCCAGCCTCTTCAAAAACCTGGGGACCCTCTTTGGGTTGGGGCTGGCCCTCAACTCCAGCATGTACCGGGAGAGCTGCAAGGGAGAACTCGGCAAGTCGCTCCCATTCCGCCTGGCCTGCATCGCGTCTTCCTTGGTCCTCCTGCACCTCTTCGACACTTTGAAACCCCCGTCCCAGAATGAGCTGATCTTCTATGCTCTGTCTTTCTGCAAGAGTGCGACAGTTCCCTTTGCTTCTGTGAGCCTTATCCCCTACTGTCTAGCCCGGGTTCTGGGTCAGACTCACAAGAAGTCTTTGTAAGGCATGGGGAGTCTTTGGTATTTAAAGTCAATGACCATGCAAAGGTTTGGGGGCTACCAAGGCCTTCTGCATCCCAAGGCCAGAGGTGTTCACATCAGCCTGGGTAACCCTGTCTTTCTTTGCTATCTTAACCAAAAAGGTGAATTCTTAAATGTTACCAGGGCTGTTTGAGAAACCCTTGAGAGCTAGAAGTTGGGTTATTTTGGGATTTTCCCTGAAGACCCATTTGCCATTCTCCCGTCAGATATAGAAGAGCAAGCCCAGGCCAGAGATCCTGACTGAGAATTCTCTCCCTGTGCAGAATCCTCCCAGCTGGGAAAAGGGCACAGTGCATTTGCTAGGAAGAGAAAGAAGTAAGAGGCGGGGAAGTGTTGTGTGTATGAGCAAACCACATGCCAGCCCGTGTCTACAAGGCTTCAGTTATGTCTGAGTCTTTAAACAGGACACTCTTGATAATGGTAGACCAACTTCAAGTGTAATGAGCAGCCAGCTAAAGGCAGCAGTTCCGCTTCCGGCTTTTCTGGTGCTTGAGTTCCTGGACGGCTGTGGTGACTTTGTCACTGCACGAGTCAGAACATTCAGGCATCACCAACTTCTCTGTCTCATCACGTCTGTCTCCTCAGTCTACGTCTGCATTCCCTCGAATTCTCCACTGGTTTCCTGTGCCTGAGGCTGGACCCTCAGATGTCCAGCAGGCAACTGTTTGGTGGTGCTTTTTGTAGGGTTAAGTTAAACTCTAAAATCTTGAGCAACAGGGCGAGGGAGAGCCAGGATGCCTCTCTCCAGAAGGTCACTCCGATGTTATTTTTGATTCCTGGAGCAGAAATAGGACTCCTTTCTCTAGCCCACACCAGCCAAGAACTCATTCTTAGAGGAACAGCCAGCTCCAGCCTTCTCTGATCTGCAGAGTATAATTTCAAAAAGAAAAAATGCTGTAGCTATTTATTCAAAATTCCTTTTTTTGCTATGAATTCTCACCTACACCAAGCGCCCTGTTCCTAACATCTTTGAAAAGAAAACTACACGTGTGCAGTATTTTATTAAAGCAACATTTTATTTAAGAATGGAATCTTGCTTATTACTCTATTTTATTTTGTTTTTATGATATTTATTTTATGTGGATGGGTATTTTGTCTGCAAGTATGTCTGTGCACCATGTGTGTGCCTGGTGCTTACAGATTCCAGAAGAGGGCATCAGATCTCCTAGAACCAGAGTTACAGTTGTGAACTGCGGTGTGGGTGCTGGGAATTGAACCCAGTCCTCATAACACATGTAAAAATGTCGAGCATGGCGGTATACATTTGTAATACCAGCAATAGTGTGATGGGAGGTGGAAACAGGTTGAACCTTAGCTTAGCTTATGAAGTGGGGTTCCAGGCCAATGAGAGATCCTACCTCAAAAGGTGGAAGGTGCTTAAGAAACAACATATGAGGTCACACACAGAGAGAGAGAGAGAGAGAGAGAGAGAGAGGGCATGGTAGGAAAAGAGTTTTATTACGAGCTGACTAAGAGGAGCTTTAGGACTGTCTTCCTGGGAGGCTGATTTCAGGGCAGTTTATATAGGAAATAGTGATTGCAGATCGATGGGCACACAGCCGGAGATTTGTATTCAAATGACACCCATCTAATTACCAAGTAAGATGCTTTTCAATTCTGCAAATCTCAAGAACAAAGATCAGTTGAGCCTAGTAGCACAAACCTTTAATTCCCACCACTCAGGAGGCTGAGGCAGGAGGATTGCTGATTCAAGACCAGCCTGAGCTGCAGAGCAAGTTCAAGGCCAGGCTGAACGACTTAGTGAGACCCTGTATCAAAGTGAAAGAAGTAACAGGGCTGGGGAGATGGCGCCTGACATGTTATACAACGGACAGGCTCGGGTGGGGTAGGGTATCTCCCCCGCAGGCTCGCTCACTGATCACTAAACTCACCTGATGACAACTATTGTGTCAGACAAGGGTCGGGTGAGGTGAAATGGGCAGGCTGGCCACATGCTGGCCTTGGTGCTGAGTTTCAGAACTATAGAGATAGTGTTGGCCAAGACGGCGCTCTGGTGGTTACCAGACCACAGGTCAGCAAGAGCTGTTCTGGGATCAGATTGCAGTTTCAAAGAGGGTGGGGCTGCCCCGCTGCCAAGTGAAGCAATAGCGTGCTCGCGAGAGTGTGTGAGTGGGTCGGGCCAGGACAAGACTAGTGACCTGCTGTCACCAAGGGTTGGAGTTATAGGTAAAGAAAGCCTAAGGCAGCTCCAGGTACCCAGGAATGCTCAAGGAAGCAAGTTTCTGTTAAACAGTTTATTTCTTCGCGATTCACAGTTGCACCTCCAAAGCCTCACCCTGCCCCCTCACCACCACAACCCTGCATTGCCTGAGGCAAGACTGATTGCCCCAGACTCCTGGAATGTGTTTATTTCAGGACCGGTGCGGGTTTTTTTTTTTTTTCCTACTAGTCTGGGGTTCTTCAGCTGGGGCCTAAGCCTGTCAGAGACTCTAATGGTCCCAGGAAAAAGGGTATTGGTTCTCATCTGTCTGATGGAACCCCACAACTCAAGCTTGGGGCCCACACTTGATGCTCCGAACTCTGGTTCCTTGCCAGAGGATTCTAGCAGAATGTGAAGCCCCCAGATTTCCAGTTGTGCCGCTGACGAGCACACCAGCAACAGACAACGCTCATTAGCGTGCTATGTGAGTTACCTTTCCAGTTAGCTATGTCCTCTTAACATCACTGGGGCAGTTACTATCATTTAACCTCACATTACATGTGCTACCTACATACAGACCAATGGAATCAAATTGAAGACCCTGACATTAATCCATGCACATATGAACACCTGATTTTTGACAAAGAAGCCAAAACTATACAATGGAAAAAAGAAAGTATCTTCAACAAATGGTGCTGGCATAACTGGATGTCAATATGTAAAACATTACAAATAGATCCATATCTGTCACCATGCACAAAACTCAAGTCCAAGTGGATCAAAGACCTCAACATAAATCCAGTTACACTAAACTTAATAGAAGAGAAAGTAGGAAGTACTCTTGAACGCATTGGCACAGGAGATCACTTCCGAAATATAACACCAGCAGCACAGACGCTGAGCACAACAATTAATAAATGGGACCTCTTGAAACTGAGAGGCTTTTGTAGGGCAAAAGACACGGTCAATAAGACAAAAAGACAGCCTACAGAATGGGAAAAGACCTTCACCAACCCATCTGACAGAGGACTGATCTCCAAAGTATATAAAGAACTCAAGAAACTAGACATCAAAATACTGAAGAATCCAATTAAAAAATGGGCTACAGAGCTAAACAGAGAATTCTCAAAAGAAGAATCACAAGTGGCTGAAAGACATTTAAAGAAATGCTCAACATCCTTAATCATCAGAGAAATGCAAATCAAAATGACTCTGAGATACCACCTTACACCTGTCAGAATGGCTAAGATCAAAAACACTAATGACAATCTATGTTGGAGAGGATGTGGAGTAAGGGGAACACTTCTCCACTGTTGGTGGGAATGCAAACTTGTATGGCGGTTTCTCAGAAAATTGGGAATCGATCTACCTCAAGACCCAGCCATACCACTCTTGGGCATATACCCAAGGAATGCTCAATCATACCATAAAGATACATGCTCAACTATGTTCATAGCAGCACTATTTGTAATAGCCAGAACCTGGAAACAACCTAGATGCCCGTCAACTGAAGAATGAATTGAGAAAATGTGGTACATATACACAATGGAGTACTACTCAGCAGAGAAAAACAATGACAGCATGAAATTTGCAGGCAAATGGATGGAACTAGAAAATATCATTCTGGGTGAGGTAACCCAAAACCAGAAGGACAAGCATGGTATGTACTCACTCATAAGTGGATTCTAGATATAAAGCAAAGAACAATCAGACTGCAACCCACAGAACCAGGGAAGCTATATATATATATATATATATATATATATATATATATATATATATATATATATATATATATATATAGCAGGGGGGACCCTAGGATGACTGTGGCTTATAATAAGTTTTGGTTTTACTCAACTACTTGGCAAGCCTCAATCAAACATTTCACTATTAGGATAAGAATTTATACTGTATCAAGCTGATAGTAGAAAAATAAATAAATTAATTAATTAGTTAAAAAAAGAATTAAAAATAAAACCTACAAAGATGGCATCTTAGTTGGGGTTACTATTGCTGTGATGAAATATCATGACCAAAGGCAACTTGGGGAGGAAAGGGTTTATTTCACTCACAGTTCCGTAGAACAAGTTCATCATCAAGAGCAGTGAGAGAGCCGGGCGGTGGTGGCGCATGCCTTTGATCCTAGCACTTGGGAGGCAGAGCCAGGCAGATCTCTGTGAGTTCGAGGCCAGCCTGGGCTACAGAGTAAGTTCCAGGAAAGGTGCAAAGCTACACAGGGAAACCCTGTCTCAACAAACAAACAAACAAACCAAAAAAGAGCAGCAAGGACAGGAACTCAAGCAGGGCAGGACCCTGGAGGCAGGAGCTGATGCAGAGGCCATGGAGGAGTGCTGCTTACTGACTTGCTCATCATGGCTTACTCAACCTGCTCTCTTACAGAACCCAGGACCACCAGCCCAGGGATAGCACCACCCGCAGTGGGCTGGGCTCTCCATCATCAATCACTAATTAAGAAAATGCCCTACAGGCCCACCTACAGTTTGTTCTTATAGAGACATTTTTTTAATTGAGGTTTTTTCCTCTCAAATGACCTTAGCTTGTAGCAAGTTGCCATAAAGCTATCCCGCACAGGTGAGTTTTGCTGTTGTTAATTTGTTCTTTTGGGTTTTTTTGAGACAGGATCTCACTGTGTAGCCTTGGCTGGCCTGAGCTTGCTATGTTGACCAGGCTGACATCAAATTCACAGAGATCCGTCTGCCTCTACCTCCTGAATGCTAGGATTAAAGGCATGTGCCACGTTGGGTGGGTATCCATTTTGTTACACATAATTAATATTTCAC